TTGACCTTTTCACAATTCATTTCATTACTCTTTGTCTTGACATTCATTATCTCATATTTATTATTAGATGGATATAAATGCGTACAACAAATGACATAAAACTTGATGTCAATTTTTTTCTTGCTTCTCCCTTCACTTTGGCTTCTTTGTTTTACCAACTTTTTTTGATATTAAACTTGAACACATTTTCCTCATTCTTTTACCAGTCTTTGTCTTTACCATGAACGTTGATATCAATTCATTGGTATTTTAACAATATGCTTTGAAACTTTTGCAAGTTGAAAGTTTTCCAAAAAAAGTTGGAATCTTTTCAAATATTTTCCTTTTTGTCTCTTTTAACAAAACATGGAATGAAAACTTTGAAAACTGTGATTACGAAGGAAAGGCTAACATTCATTACGATCATAACATTTTATCATTAAATTCATGTTTCAATCCCATTATTACCTCCCAGTCCTGGGAATTCATGAGTTTAAATTGAAAGGTAAAATTAAATTGTTCAATGTCAATCATATTTATAATGAAAATTTATTCATGATTGTGGCACTAAAGGGAAAAGGAAAAAAAACTTTGACCAAAACTGATATGCTGGGAGTGAAAGAATGTTATAAAAGATAAAGAAAAAAAGTGTTGACCAGAAATGCAGTTCTGGTGATTCATTTGATTGACCTCCAACTGTTTCACCCTGAACGCTATTAGTAAACACTGAAAATTGTTTAATCACAATTAGAATGTGTTTTCATGTGTTGAACCTTTACCCTGGAAAAAGGTAGAACAAGAAAAAAAAGCAAAATCAAGTTGAATCTTAAGCAAGCCATAATAGCATCAAGGTTGGAAGGTGGAAAAAGTTTAATTAAAATGAATGTGAGGAACGTCATGGTGGCAACTTGATTTCACTTCGTTACTCGATGTTGCCCTGTTGGAAACACCAGACACTGTGGATACATCAATGAGCGTGCCTTTTAATATCATGATTGACAAAAGATTTTCTCTTCGTTCCTTGATTAATGATAATGCATCACTTTGCGTCAACCTTTTCTTTCCATCATCATCATGTTCGTCATTTTTATCGTCTTTTTGTTTTTCTTCTTCTGTCTTCTTCTCTTTTCTTCATCCCACTTCAATTTAGTTTTTCGTTTTTCACTTTCATTCCCTTTCCGAATTGCATGTCTAACAATGAATGGCTCAGTCGACATTCCATCATGATGACCTGCATACCATGGACCATCTTTCCTCTTCCATCTTAATCATCATCTTAATCACCTTAATCATCATTGTTTCTCATCTTTTTTTGCATCACACTTTGCTTCTTTCTTTCAGATCTTTTCTAATCCTATTCTGTACACTTTGACACAACTTTTACTCACAACTTTGCTTCTTCCCTTCCCTCCCAAGCATCCACAACTTCATCATTATCACTATTATTGCCATTATAATCATCACCATTTCATCATCAACTTTTCGTTTTGTCTCTTTTTTCTTCTCTTCTCTTCATCTTCTTCACCAGCATTGTGCTTCTTCGAAGATGCTTTTTTCTGTCAATCAAGAGCAATTTTTTTGCGTTTCTGCATCAAAAGTTGATTACGATGAAAGCTTTTCGTTTTTCATCATCTTATCTTACTTTTCTCATCTTCATCTCGAAATTCTTGTTCATTCTCTCCTCTTTTGTTTATCACCAAAATGTTTAACCTTAAATCTGTTTATTGATTAGATCAGTCATCACAAAAATATCCGAAGGCGTTCATCAACCAAAAGATTTACCAATCACTTTATTAGTTTAGACCAAAATTGTTTGGATACAATATCAACCTTCAATCACTTTTCACTTGAAATCTCATTCTTCAATTACACTTCAATTAAACAATTGTAACCAACGCCAACGCTAATTCAATTAAGAAAAGAAGGTGAAAAGTATTTCGAAAAGTCAAGTTACTTTTTTCGACAATCAAATAGGGACAAAAGATGTTCCAGAAATAGATGCAATAACATCCCAAGTAATGATATCAAACTTAAAAAGATTATCTTAAGTCAAGATTTGCCAGAAAAGAGTCTCAACATTTCCCAATAAAAACGATCCTTTTATTCCTTTGGTAACGTGAAGGCGTCAAGCCTTCTGAAGAAAGACTATTGCTTGGTGAACCATAAAGTTAACTCAAGAAACTGAAACAATTTCTTTTTTTGTTTTCGATCGATCAGTTTTATGACCAATCATTCTTGATTGACCGATTTTCGTTGTAAATACTGACGATCAAATGATCGCATTGTCTTGAGTCTCAACTGTTTTTGATCTGAAACTGATTTTTACTTTGAACTGGAATCTTAATGGCAATCAAATGCAAGTGAAATTTTGCTCAAATTGTTGCAGTTGAACCTGTAGCTAGTCGACCTGACTGTTGATTACAGCTACATTTATTGTTCATGTTAAACTGAGTAACATGAAGATTTAATAGTTGAGCGAGGCGCACAGTTTATTCAATTATTAATCATTATCGTTATCATTCCGTCATTACCATGGTCATTAGAATATAATTGTTGAACCATTGTTTCATCATCATTAACCATGAATAAAAGATATGGAAGGTTGGTCAACGGCAAGAAAGAGAAGAGTAAAGAAAAGAGAAGCAGGAATGGACACTAGTTGAGACAATGTCCAATTCATGATTACTTTTTTTTCCTTCTCCTGCAATCTCTTTCTCCTCTCCTTCCAAGTTGAACCTTTTTGAATGGAGAAGAGAGGAAAAAAACAAAAGGCTGAAATAATTATCTGAATGAACATTAACCATTCAATATCAAGAGTACTCTATTAGATGAACATTTATCAATGACGATATAATGCGATTCCAGTGATTCCAATGTTACTCCCTGTTTCCCAAGCATTTACTGTATTACAAGTAAAGAAACAATTTGATTAATGATTAAACAAGTCTTCAACTACATTTATAAATGACTAATATATTGGCAAACAAAAAACAATTTGTCCATGTTGATGGTAATAAGAAGCCCAATATCAACAATCAAACCAGAAAAATTTAAATCTCCGAATGGAAGAGAAAAAAAGAAAGAACAAAAAAAGTTTCGTCTTTCATCGAATCACCTTTGCACTTTCAACTTTTCCATATGATTATTGAGTAGAAGAATAATATTCATCATTTCTCATGATCTTGTTGATCTTGGATTCTCTCTTCAACATTCAATTCAATTCTTCTCTCAACTGGAACAAACCTAACATTCCCAATTGATTAATGTTATTCTGTCTTGGTGAAACTCAAATGGTCTTACAGAAGAGAGAGAGAAACCATCATTCAAATCAGTTCACTTATAAGACGATGAAGAAGAAGAAGAAGAAAAGAGAAGAAAAATTTTTATCATTAACATGATTCTCATTGAAGCTCATCCGCATCATCATTATCATCCTTCCTTCTCCCTGTCTGATTACTTGTTAACATCTACAAAACTGTAACTAATATGAACACATTCAAGTGCAACAGCAACAAACCCAGTCTGATAGAGATTAAGGTTTTTACTGTTTCGGGTTACTGTATTAGCTGAGAGTTTTCCTTGTTAAGTATGATTTATTTATCTTATTCAACCCAAAGAGGTAATAGATGATGAAAAGGCAGTGAAGATGTGCATCAACAGAATCATCATCAGAACCAAAGAGTCACTTATTTTTTTGCTCCTTTGACATATTATTAAGGTTGGTTTGTTTTTAGGGTTTTGAGAAGAGTAAATATTATTAATATTATTATCTTCCCAAGATGAGCTCAAAGTGTATGCTTCAAGATGAAATATATGTGCATCCACATCCTCCTGTTACCATTTATCAATGGAAATATTTTTCTCTTTTTTTCTGCTTTTCTTTCGTTGCTCATTTTCACTGGTTTTCACTATTACCTGTTAGTTTTCATTAGCTTGTTTCATTAGCCTTCTTCGATGTTCAGTTTTTTGCCGTTTTATCCTTTCCATCTTATTGGCCATTCAACAAATGTTTACCAAAAAATTGACTCTTTATTACCATGATTAAGGGTTAAAGTTGATTCATGTATTACAAGGAAATATTAGTTATTTCAAGTTATTAGATTAACTTAACAAGTTTTGATTAGTTTGAAATGCTAACTGTTCTGAGGTTATTATCAAGTTCAGATGAAAATGTAAAAAAACAGTTTACATTAAAACAACAATTTCAGGATTTTCTGCTCTGAACTGGGCTCAATCGAATTATCTTTGTATATTAAATTTGACTTCATTCAATTTTAAAGTTGAAATATTTTCGATCTTTATTTTTAACCTAATTTCAGTTAAATGATGCAAATAACTTTACAGCCAAAGAAAAACATTAGCAAATCTTTAGTCAATTGACTTTGCAAAAGACTTGATTTGCTTCATTATTGATTGCAATCGCTATTCAATCATCTAGTCGATCATTAAAATCGTTGCCTTCAGTTCAATCTCAAGTTTTCTGGTTCTTTTCAACTCTTTGACTTTCATCTTTTGAACTGCTCATTTCGATTGATTGTTTTCGCAATTCAAGTGTTGATCTGTTTGGTTTAGAGTTAAAATGACGTCTAACTGTCAATCATCAAAGAATTTTCTATCAAAACTTTTCCATCAACAAATCAGTTCGATTCAATGTTTACTAATGAACAATCAAAGTTTAGTTGAAAGCATCAATGCAAATATGAAAAGCTGCGGAATTGCAAAGCAAAGTAAACTTGAATTGAATGTTATTGGTATAACTGGAGAGCGAAAAGTGAAAGGAAAGTTTAGGTTCTAACATTGAAAGAAGAAAAGATATTTTTTTTCGTTAAACTTTTCGTTTCGAATGTTATTAGTTTCTTGTTTGGAAGCAAATTTCATCCCAAATTCATTGAAGTTCCCTCTTTGCTCGCTCACACTTTTACGCCAAATTCATCATCAACTCTCCCAAGTCTCACCAAAAGGCGGTTCCAAGTGCTCCTCAGTTGACTTGTGTTCACATCATGAGAGCTTGAAGCTGCGCAACTTTGCTCAACTCACCAAAGGACTCAATTCATGTTTGGTAACAGCAAAGGAAACCAAACTGATAACAAACAACAACATTATCACACATTTTCCTCGTTAACATTATATGTCAACATTCATTTCTGTTTTACTTTTGTTTCTTTTGCGCTTCTCTCCTCATCAAGTGTGCTAATTGGAAACCAAAACACACTGTGATTAACCAGTGATAGTGAATGTGCACAAAGGTCAACTTGCAAATTTTCACCTCGCTTCGTCAACACTTGACTTTTCGTTACAATTTTCATCCTTTTATTGGATTTAAATGTGCTGACAAAATGTGCTGACCCAAAGTGCTAAGCCAAATGAGAGCAAAACAGTTGATCAACAGTCATTCATCAATGTTCATCAAGTGAAAAGTCAACTGCTAATCAAATGTTTACAATCATTTACAATCTCGACTAACTTCAAACTGAATTTGCATTTTCATTCTCATCATTCATTCATTACCAAAGGAATTATTTCGTCTTCCAACTCTTCAAGTGAATACAAACTGTAAGTTTTATCAAAGAACTTTATTCCCTTGATTAGCATTCCATTCAATAGTAGAGTTGAAATTACAATCCAATAAGTCGACTGATAAGTTCTCACAAAGAACTGGGAGTTTTTTGCACTCCCAGTGAATCGCATTTTCTTACCTTGAGTTGCACTTTTTTCACACCTTTAGTCGAATCTTGAAAAGTCGCATTTCTCAGCCTCTCAAGGCATCAACATCATCATCCATTAACCAGCCAATAATGGATATAAATAAATTCTCAAGAGAAACTCATTGGTTCTGTAAATGTCAAAAGCAGATAAAGAAGTGAACATTCTGTAAAGACACTTGTTATTGTTGATAATTTTTTTGTTTAAACTTTTCTTTAATAATCTTTTCTCTCTTCAATCTTTAATATTAATGTTCAATTGTGAACATTTGTTAAGGTAAATGGAAGAAGTTTACAGAAACAAGTTTATCTTTTTTCTTCTCTTTTCCTTTTCTTCTTCTCTCAAAAATAATGCCATTCCTTTAAATACGTGCTCAAGAGACAATCTTAAATGTTATTAGAAAAGGTAATAAAGTGGTTCAAGTTTCCATGCCAAGGAATAAGAATAATGTTGATAAAAGAAACAAGTTGTTCTAATAAAAGCACGAGAAGACAAAAAATGGCAACAATCATGATAATGTCAGTCATCATTCAACGAAATAAACTAATCGTACTTTGACTCTTCAATCTGACAACAAACGTTGAAAGATGAACATTTCACCTTCTAATTAGAGTAAATAATTCAATGAGAAATTTGATTCTCTGTTTGATTGGAGAAATGAATAGATTGGAAACATTTTGTTTTCTCGTTTTTTTCATTTTTTCCCTACTCTTCACTTGCCATTTGATAGCAACAATTAGAGTCTTTCAAATGGATTCATGATATTATTTTTTTCCTCTTTTGTCTTGATGAAGGTTGAAGGAAAGAAACAAATGAAAAGTAGAGAAAAAAAATGTTACAAAGCTTCTAATGACGTTAGAATTGTGACGTTCATATGCTAAAAATTAGAACAATTGAATACCCATGACATTTCAGTTTCAACCTTTTCTCGAATTAAAATTTTGATGCAGTCAAGTTGAGTTGCAAGTGTCTAAATTGAAAGCTCACAAAGCTTGTTTATAACATTCTGTTGACGCTGTTCAGTTCAACATTTGAAATGAAAATTACAAGCTCCAAGTGAAAAGTTTCAACTCGAAAAGATTTTGCAATTTTTAATTCTCTTTGCGAAAACTTTGTTTAATCAGATTTTCCATTTTACTCGCCTTTTCCAGCAACTTAAGTATTATCTCAATGAATGATTTATGTTTCAAGTGATCATCTTAAGAATGAAATACGAGTCTAAATATTCAGATGTAAATCATCATTCAATTTGCAACTCTCAAATTTCTTTACTCAAGTCAAGTTGGAAATTGTTGCAATTTTAAAAACACAATTTTCCAACCAAGAATATTCAATGTTAATTTGTGAGATGAAAAGAAGTCAAGAAACGTCCAGAAATTATCTGTAATCGGTATTGAATTTCCAATCTCAAATTTCGTCTAGAATCAGCTCGAAACTTTTCAATGTTTTACTTTCTTCTTAACCAACAATTTTCCAATGTTGAGATACATTGAGTTTGACAAAATTATCGATTCCTTTTTCTTTACTCTCGACCATGAATTTTCAGAAGCTCAGTTCAACTTGAAATCGAGGTGAAGATGTGCAACACTTTTACAGTTATTAATTTTCGATTTTGCCTTAAATCTCTTCAAGTGCCTTTTCCCTTGGTGTTTCTCAGAATCTTGAATGCTAAGCCGAAAGACTTACCATTGGTGACAGAAAAAGGTGAAGTAAATAAGCAGAAAATTTATCACAAAAACAATGTTTATCTTTTTCCTTTGACTTGGTCTTATTTATTTATTTATTATGATTTATGTAATAAAAGAGAAAAGGAAATTATCTCAAAATTGTGGTTAAACAATAAATAACTGTTAAAGTAAAAGCATTTTTATTATTATTAACATTATTATATATTGTTTGTTATATTAAAAGATAAAGAGTAGGAGTTGTGAGGTAAAGGGAGAGAAAATCAGAGATGAAGATGAAGAGAGAGAGAAAGTATTATTATGATTGTTAACCATTATTATTAGGATGTTATTGGGTTTACATGAAAAGGTAACTTATATTTATCCATTTGTGTATACATATTAGAGAGACAGTCTTATAAGCTCCAATGAACAAGGCAAACAATTATTTGACCTCCAATGGAAACCACTCAGTCATTAACATTTCTCTCGATTAAATGTTCTAAACCATGTTATTCCAAGACTTTTAGCTTTTCCATCTTAGCTTCTGACGATTTCCATCTTTCGAGCCGATCAACACAAGAAAAAAAAGGTTAATCCAAAAGACTATAATTATGCGATTCTATGCAAATGTAACTCTTTAAGAAAACATGATGATTCAGTTGATGGAATATTGGAAATCGAACATTTTCTTTCCTTACTTGAATGTTGAATGACGAAAATTGCTTTTGATCGTTTTGCGAATCAATCAATTTTTTCGGTGAATCTTGTTTGATAAACAGTTTTGTTTCAATTGCGATTTGTTGAAATTTTGTGCCGCTCTTTATTCATCAATTATCTTGTTGGAGAATTCATTTTCTTACTTTTCTCTTTTTCTCTTTGGAAAAATTCCAATTTTCCAGTTTAACTGATTGATTGATAATTTTCTGTAAACTTTTGTTTTCTCCTTGTTATAACCAATTAACTTTCAAAGTTAATCACTTCTATTTTGAAGGAAAAAGGTATTCATTAACTTTTGTTGAACCAGAAAAAAGTTTCAATTTTGAGTTGGAAAAGAGAAAAGGAAAAGTTCATTAATGAAAAGGGAAAAAAAGAATCGAAATTTTGGGCCAAAAATATCGTCCAATAGGGAACAATTTATTATTGAATTAATTGATGAACAAATGAAAGTGTAACAAACAAAAAATGATGGAAATCTATTCAATTGTTTTCCAATGGGACAAAAAGGTTTACATTGAAATGGCGTAAAATGAAAAATAATCAATCTATTTGTTTCCTCATTGAGTTCAACTTTTTTTATCTCTTTATTTTCCCATGAATTTGTTCCATTCCAAGTCGGCCCATGTTGAATCATTTGCTGAAAATTTTTTCTTCTTTTTTCATTTTCTTCTCTTGTCAACTTTTAAAAGTAAATTACAATTGAAACTGGACACTATCCGGACAGTTGGATGAAAGAAGAAGAAAAAATGGTCAAAATTGTCCAAAGGTTGACATGAAGGTAACATGGAGAAGAAGAAGAAAAAAGAAATGAAGAAAAAACAGTTTTCAACTTTTCTCACTCAGTACATTTGAATTTGTAATGGTGAAATTAGTCTCAGAGGAACAGAACAGGGTTAAACATGGTAATGATAGACATGATGAGAAAGTGTAAAAAGCGAGGCTAAAAAAGGAGGGAAAGGTGATAACGTTGAGAAGGAAAAGACAGAAAAAGAGGAAAATATTTCAAGATTATTTTCGCATTTGGTTGCTTCTTGTTTCCACTTTGAAATATAATCTGAATAACTATTAATAGAATAATTTTGCTTCTCTCGATTCTCTGTTTTCTTGTTTTTTTTTCATTTTTCAAGCTCATTTTTCGTTTCTTTTTGCGCTTCCATTTTCAACAACATTGTGCCTTGTTGTGCGCTTTTTCAGGGTTCATTAATGTTCCTTGTTTACTACTCGTTAAGTTGAGAATCAAATCATGATAAACATTTTCCATCACTTTTACCAACTTCTCATTTTACTACATTTCAGTCTTTTTTGCTTCACTTTAATTATTAAACTTGAAATGTAACTTGATATTCAACTTGTTCACTGCTAATGATAGTTGTCATTTTGTTTCACATCATCCAGTCAAAAATTTGATTGAATGTACGTTCAGTTGAACTTCATTTTAAAAACAAAATTTCAAGTGCTGAGTTGAAACAAATTAAAAGTCTATCAAGGTATGAACAGTTCCATAGCATCAATTGAGAATCGATGCACAAATTTTCACCTTTTCAAATAATTACAAAAATCTTATTGATTCTTATCGATTTTTCCAAAATTTTGATCAGTCGATATTGCAATCCCCAGTATGACCTGAGATCTTGACAAAATACAGTTTGCATAATGAAAAATAATCCAAAGATGATCCACAAAACTTCAACCTCAACTATTTTTGTCGCATCTATTTTAAGTTATTGAATGATCAGATAATTCGTTTAAATCAAGATTAACATCAACTCACCCAACTTTGTAATATCAACGACGGGTAAAGTTTATTAGCAAATCTCTGTTAGTTTGTTCCTCAACGATAAGCTTTCAAAAAAAATCGAATTCGAAATCTAACTTTTTAGTCTGTACTAAGAGCGTTTCGAGAGTCTCAAAGACTTACTAACTCAACTAAACTGTACTCGAGTTAACCGATCATTCCTTAAAATGAGATTGAGCAAATACTTTAAAAAATTTTAGTTTCTAAACTTTTCATAGTTTCTGTATCTTTTTGCTTCGCTTGGTTTGATTCTTCAGTGAAATTGTTTTTTTAAATTGAAACTTCATCAATTATTATTCTAAATGCAAAATGCGGAAGAAGAGAAAAGTTCATTTTGTATAAAAGTTGACCAATTTTTTGCTTTTTTAGCAAAAATTGGTTCCATTTTCGTTGTCTTCCTTAATTAGGTAAATTATCCAATAAACTAATGTGCCATTTTCCTATCAACAGTTAGTTATTTTGTCAGCTCTTATCATTATATTTCTGTATTAATTGAGTGCTCTAACTATTAGCATAACATCAAGTTATATTATCTTTTTGTTTCTTACTCGTCTAAAGTCATCAATTTTATTCATATTTGAGCTCATTTTCTTATTGATTATCATTAGAGTTGCCCTTGTTCAGGCTGCTATTTCATTATTACTTCATTATTAATATTTTTATACCTCAAC